GAGTTCAGCTGGTGTCTTGGCTTTCCATGCCTTTTTACACCTCCCTTTCTTCATGTGTTCAATACTTTTTCCCTGTGCCATTCCACATTATTACAAACAACGACAAGTTTTATACTTCCGTCATTCAAGATTGGCATGGACACAATTTAATTATTTATTTATTTTCATTTGTTATGAACACATTTTCTCATGTGCCTCTATTGTTTAGCTTATTAAAGCCTTGTTAAAGCCTATTTGTTTGAGTTTCTGAGGTATTTCGACCGCTGCTGCTCCCTGCTCTGGTAACAGCATGCAAGGTGAGCGCAGAGCAGAGGAGGGAGGAAAAAAAAGAAGCTGGGACCACGACTCTGCCTCTGGGTCTCATATGGTTGTACAACGGAGCTTCTGCTATTATTAGCCATGCTAACGTAAACGCTGGCTTTGGAGGGCGGAGTTAAAGTCAACAGATTTTTGGAGGGCGTTACCAACAGAGCTCATTAACATAAACAGCTCTTCTGAACRGAAGTCAGAGCAGGCAGAACTAGAAAATGGGAAATTTTATTATCTAGAATTATTTTGAGCATTAAATTGAATGAACATGGTCTGGATAGCCCACAGACATAACATAAAATTTGCTAGGACCCATAATTGGTGTCCTTTAAAAGACATTATTGCACATTGTTTATTTATTGCACATTGTGTATATTGAGGTATATGTATTATGCTGGTATTGCAGGTGACCATTTCAAAATAAAGTGATATGTGTCCCACAGATGTATTTATTTCACAGTAGGTGAGTTCCTCATTGACTGTAAATCAAGAGTCGGTGTATGCGACAGTTCAGTAAGGTGATGGCTTTCGGGAAAAAGCTGTTCTTAAATCTGTTCTTGTTCTGGTGCACCTGTAGTGCTTTCCTGAGGGCAACAAGTCAAACACTAGCAGATTGAACAGAATCTTTTTATTTTGACACAGTGAACATTGAGTCTCTGTAGCTGTTATAACCATCTGCAAATATCTTATCTGTGAGTTTTACTGGTGAAATATAACTTTTCTTATCTGTTGCTCTGTTCAGTTTATCTTGACTTTCTTCTTTTTTATCTTAGCTTATAAAAAAATGAAACTGCAGCTCTTTTATTAAGAAAAATCGTATTTAAACTCAGCTTGTTGCGCCACGAAAGACCAGCTATTAGTCTTAAAAATGTATTAAAAGTGCAGAAAGTGCAAAAGAATTGAAATAAAATTTGCTCTGGTTGGGATTGAAAGCAGCCGCACTTCTTGTTAGGGTTTGTCTGTCCTGTAGTCCTGAGACTGAGACCGTCATTAAGATGCAAGTTCAAAACAGTGAAACGTGACCCTGAACATGACTCACAAGACAAAACAAAACATAATAAAATAATAATCCAGAGTTTTAATGAGCTGTTTGTGTTTGCAGATGCACTGTCTGTGGATCAGCCTGTCGCTGTCCTGAAGGCACCAAAGGTCTGGGGAGCCCTGAGAGGTATGCTCTTCTTTTTATCAGCAAAATATTTTGTGAACGCCGAGTCGGCATTCCACATTATTGTTTTCCTGTCGACTGTTTGTTCCCCGTCTGTTTATTTCGACCGTCTACTTTTATCTACAGGGTGAGTCAAAAATCACAGGACACCCTTGTGTTTCAGAAAGAAAAAAGAAAACGACAAATCTGAATATCCCAACAAGTAATGTGTCCAGAACATGGCGCCATCTCAAAAAAGTACCATCATGGATCAAAATAAAAGGGTGTCCTGTGATTTTTGACTCTCTCTGTATTTTAATCATTCATAAATATTCAGCTCTTT